AATTCATTAACACGTCAGTACAATATCGAAAGTAGAAAAATGCACGCTGCGGATGATATGCATTTCAATGATTTTTATTCTAAAATCTTCAATGAATTATTTTAAAGTAATTTCAAACAACTTAACGTTGATTAACCAGCACGGAGTTCCACGGAGCAAACGCACCGTGTCCCACCGTGTACACACCGTGTCGCACCCTGTGCCAGCTTAGCGCTGAAAACGAAACATCAAAGACACCGACATTTTTCAAAGTCCACGCAAAAGCGTGGACCAAGGGTCCACCGTGGCCGGTGTTTTCCGGAAGATACTCGTGAGCTGTACTGTAAGTACATAGTTATGAAGAGCAAGAATGCCTCTTCCAGAATTGTGAAATTCATGGCCCCAGGGTCAGGGGTTCTGGTGTTAGGGCGGGGCTCTATTGATTATATAGTGAAAATGCATTAATTCTTTGAAAATCTTCTTCTCTGCTCCTGGGTATTAAATAAAGTAACTAAGTACATAGTTATGAAGAGCAAGAATGCCTCTTCCAAAATTGTGAAATTCATGGCCCCAGGGTCAGGGGTTCTGGTGTTAGGGAGGGGCTCTATTGATTATATAGTGAAAATGCATTAATTCTTTGAAAATCTTCTTCTCTGCTCCTGGGTATTAAATAAAGTAACTAAGAACATAGTTTTGATGAGCAAGAATGCCTCTTCCAAAATTGTGAAATTCATGGCCCCAGGGTCAGGGGTTCTGGCCCCAGGGTGGGGCTATATACATCATATAGTGAAAGTGCATTATTTCTTTGAAAATCTTCTTCTCTGCTCCTGGGTATTAAATAAAGTAACTAAGTACATAGTTATGAAGAGCAAGAATGCCTCTTCCAAAAATGTGAAATTCATGGCTCCAGGGTCAGGGGTTCTGGTGTAAGGGCAGGGCTCTATTGATTATATAAAGAAAATGCATTAATTCTTTGAAAATCTTCTTCTCTGCTCCTGGGTATTAAATAAAGTAACTAAGTACATAGTTATGATGAGCAAGAGAGCCTCTTCCAAAATTGTGAAATTCATGGCCCCAGGATCAGGGGTTCTGGTGTAAGGGCAGGGCTCTATTGATTATATAATGAAAATGCATTATTTCTTTGAAAATCTTCTCTGCTCCTGGGTATTAAATAAAGAAACTAAGTACATAGTTATGAAGAGCAAGAATGCCTCTTCCAAAATTGTGAAATTCATGGCCCCAGGGTCAGGGGTTCTGGCCCCAGGGTGGGGCTATATACATCATATAGTGAAAGTGCATTATTTCTTTGAAAATCTTCTTCTCTGCTCCTGGGTATTAAATAAAGTAACTAAGTACATAGTTATGAAGAGCAAGAATGCCTCTTCCGAAATTGTGAAATTCATGGCCCCAGGGTCAGGGGTTCTGGTGTTAGGGCAGGGCTCTATTGACTATATAGTGAAAATGCATTAATTCTCTGAAAATCTTCTCCTCTGCTCCTGGGCATTAAGGTGATAAATTAAGTACATAGTTATGATGAGGAGGTGGGCCTCTTCCAGAATTGTGAAAGCCATCGCCCCTGGGTCAGGGATTCTGATGTTAGGGCGGGGCTCTATTGATTATATAGTGAAAATGCATTAATTCTCTGAAAATCTTCTTCTCTGCTCCTGGGTATTATTTAAACAAACAAAGTGCATGGTTATGATGCATAAGGATGCCTTTTCAAAAATTGTGGAATTCATGGTCCCAGGGTCAGGGGTTCTGGTGTTAGGGCGGGGCTCTATTGATTATATAGTGAAAATGCATTGATTCTTTGAAAATCTTCTTCTCTGCTACTGGAGATTATTTAAACAAACTAAGTGCATGATTATGATAGGCAAGGATGCCTTTTCAAAAATTGTGAATTTCATGGTCCCAGGGTCAGGGGTTCTGGTGTTAGGGTGGGGCTCTATTGATTATATAGTGAAAATGCATTGATTCTTTGAAAATCTTCTTCTCTGCTACTGGAGATTATTTAAACAAACTAAGTGCATGATTATGATAGGCCCCAGGGTCAGGGGTTCTGGTGTTAGGGCGGGGCTCTATTGATTATATAGTGAAAATGCATTGATTCTTTGAAAATCTTCTTCTATGCTACTGGAGATTATTTAAACAAACTAAGTGCATGATTATGATAGACAAGGATGCCTTTTCAAAAATTGTGAATTTCATGGTCCCAGGGTCAGGGGTTCTGGTGTTAGGGTGGGGCTCTATTCATTATATAGTGAAAATGCATTGATTCTTTGAAAATCTTCTTCTCTGCTACTGGAGATTATTTAAACAAACTAAGTGCATGATTATGATAGGCAAGGATGCCTCTTACAAAATTTTTAAATATATGGCCTCAGTTTTTGGGGTTCTTGAGGAAGGGGGGGGGGGGGGCTCTATTGATTATATATTGAAAAAGCATTAATTCTATTAATTAATCATTAATTAATCCTGTCTGCTCCTTAGCGTTGAGCTGATAAATAAATTGCTTAGCTATGATGAAAATGCGAGCTTCGAACAGAATTTTTAAATCTTGTGGTCCTAGGGTCAGGGGTTCTGGCATAAGGGGGGGGGGGGGGGCTTTTGATAATATAGTGGAAAAGTGTTAATACTTCGAAGTCCATAGTTATGATGATGAGGGTAACTCTTCCAAATTTGTAAATTTCTTGACCCTTGGTCTTGGGTTCTGGTGTTAGGGTAAGGCTTTGTTGAATCTGTAGTGAAAATGCATTGTGCCTGTGAAATTCTTCTCTGCTTCTGGGCATATAGGAAGAAAACAGAGTAAAAGTTTAAATGATATAAGTAAGCGTATTTCTACCAGATTTTTGAACATCTGGACCATTTGTCTAAGCATTCTAGTCCTGGGCAGGGCTTTATTAATTTGTATTCTACTGAGAGAAGTTATTCCCCTTTTCCATTCACCTTTGATAATTAATCACTGTAAATAATGTATTTGAAAGGTTAATAGAATAAGATAGTTATGCAAGAATGTTTATCATATAATTCAAAAAGTATTTTCTTAGTTTTAATAATCAGGTAGACCTGTAAGTAATAGATAAATAAAAATGAGACAAAAATAACTTATCTTATTAAAGGTTCTTCAAAGACCGTAAGAGAGGTCAATGCTAGAGGTCTTAATATGGGTTTAAAAATAGTACAGAAGCACTAATAGTTTGTTAATAGTCTGCATGGTGATAGTGTTAAGTGGGGGACAGATTAGAACTTAATATATGAGTTGACACTGAATACTAGACTAATTATTTTGTTGATCCTGATCTTCCTACTTCTCTTGCTTTAGGGCAACAAAGCTTCATCTATCAGTGTATTTAACTTCTAAATTGTTGTATTATACTCAGGTGACCGTTAAGGCCCATGGGCCTCTTGTTATTGAAAATATCTACATAACACTCTTCTTAGTACACAAATTTTCACATTATGTTAATGCCAATATGAATATATTTTATTGTTTATTCTTTTAAATATCTATCGAAGATTCTTGTTATAGAATATTAAATATTTATAGTTTTTATTAATGAATTTTCAAGTATACAAATACAGCACACCCCACACAAAATTGGGTGCGGATCCCAATAAATTGCATATGGTGTATGTAGTAGTCACTACTTCAGCCTTTCTCCAAATACCTTTTAGTTTTACCAACAACTCCTTTTGTTTTGTGTGAAATATCACAGATTTCCACTGTCCTCATACTTTCATTCTTGAGACTTGACACGTTCAACATTAAAATAATGTCATTTTTGCAAAACAGGATCGGCCGTCTAAAACTGTAAAATATTCTACTGAAAAGCCTATGCTCAACAGATTTAAGATTTACCATTTCCTTAGCATTATTCTCCTCTAAAGTCTGCCGACGATCTTTTTTTTTTTTTTAAATACAAAATCACATACAACTGGCAATTATTATTAAGTTATACCTTGACCAGATATGTCATTTTCTTCGTCTGTTTTTACTTGGTTAAAATCTCTTTTAAAACTTGCTCACGCCAGTGATGGTATCTAGATGTATTTATGTTATTTTTGCTTTTCTGCCATCTCTATCCTGGCAAATTATCTTTTCCCTACATATTTAAACTGCTTTTATTGCCCATTTTTCTCCATTCTTCACATGGCTTTTGTGCTATAAATAGCACCACACTTTAATAAAGACGGGAGATAACTCTTAAATTTTGACTGTGATTCTTGCTGAGTAAAAATACATGCGAATACTTTTGAAACACAAAAACCAAAATAAAAAACAACGGGGCGGGGCATTTTGAGAGGGGTGGGCGGGGATGAGAATCTAAAGTTTAATTTTACCTGGCCTTACAATCATGTATTTATTTATTAATTATAATCAGATTCCACCCATTTATAGTATAAAGGAAGAAAGAAATAAACTATGTACTTTTATAACTTGGAGCTTGACTGAATTTATCTTATCGTTCTTGTAAGCTTGGCCTTTAAAGGTTTTTATACATATTTATGGTAACCTATCTCGTCACCCCAGGCAATCAGTCATGCTGACAGCTCGATAAAAACAAAAGTAGAGGAAACAAATTATTTAATAAAATTTTACAATCATAATTGCATGACAAAAGTGGCTTTGTAGTATACTTATTTACAATCCTGATAGCTGGGGCTTTTGAAATCAGTGATTTCAACTCCTTAATATTTGAATGAGTGAAGTGATAGCTTTCACATGCAATATATTTATTTCGAATAGATAATCTGCCTGTACCATTTTTTTGTTTGATTGAAAAAATAGCCATATGCATTTTGCTTTGTGCAGTTTGTGAAATTTGTGTAATATCAAAGAAAAGTAACCCTATAGAAAACCGAAACTTTATTAAAACTAACACTCATCAAACTTCTTCTAAATAAAATGGTCACATTTTCAAATCGTCGTAATAACCACATTTACAGTACGCTAAAGTTGTTTGTAAATTAAGTTATAATTATAATTATGATATTTATATAGTTTTGTTTTTATTTTTTAGTCCTAAGGATGCTGCTCGAGCAATCAGAAAGAGGTTATCACAAAATATGGGGAAGAACCACACGGCGGTCATGTACACGCTAACTGTAAGTAAATCATGTTTATGAACAACCTTTGATTCCTAAATACCCAATAAACAATAGATGGGTTACATGATTTGAATCTTGCAGTGTCTAGAAACGTGTGTAAAGAACTGTGGCAGAAGATTTCACCTCCAGGTGGCAAACAAAGATTTCCTGTCGGATCTGATCAAAGTTATTGGTCCAAAGTATGACCCACCACAAGCAGTTCAAGAAAAAGTTCTAAGTCTTATTCAGGTAAATTAATGCAAAAGAATGTTGAGAATTATTATTATTAATTTTTATTGTCTGCAGAGTAGAGACACTTCAATCAATACTTTTTTGATTATCTTTTGAACCAAGAGGAATAAAGATGTGATATTTTGCTGCCTTGATCTTAGACATACTCTTTTTAAAGATATTTAAGAAAAATGCATTAACTTTTGAATTACGGAAGGTAAAGCTTAAATTTTAGCATATAAATACTTGAATATGACAAGATCTTTCAAAAATACTATAAAACTATGTGCCAGGCTTTGAACTTGACCTTTAACCTTTTTTACTCAGACATGGGCAGATGCATTCAGAGGGACTCCTGAACTGAAGGAGATAGACAAAGTTTACCAGGATCTGAAGGCAAAAGGAATAGAGTTTCCTATGACAGATCTTGACCACATGGCACCCATCCATACACCAGCCAGGGTAGGCTACTCTTGCTCAAATCACTTTTAAATGATCAAGTAATAGAAAAAAAACTGAATTGTATATAAATGAGTATGAATGTTATTTCATGTGATTTTACCATATTATAAGGTTTATAAAAGAGTTATGCCCACTGCCTGTATTGTAACATAGGGTTTGTAGAGTTATTTTACCAGATTGTATTGTATTATTCAGATTTTAATACTAATTCCCCAGATTATATTGCAAACATGTAATAGTGTTTATAGAATGTAAAATGTGAAGATAACAGTGCCTGGTAAGGCCAAACAACAGGTGGGGCCAATAGCCCCACTATTCATAAAATGATGGGTCCATTTTGAAATTTAAGGGGCTGAGAGGAATTATATTGGGGTCATTCTGTTATATATCATATAATGATGCTATGGTAATGCATAATTCTCTGACAACAAAATTTAGGAAAATGAAAAAAATGCAATAGGAATTGACAAATCAAATGACATTGTCTACTGGAAATGATTTTTCTGTTTTTAAAAACATGGACCCCTGTAAACACCAAAGATGGGATCAGGTGACTTGGAGGAGTAAGCATTCCCTGTTATCTGGTCACACCCGCTGTGATCCCTATATGTTGATCAGGAATATGGAATACTTTGTAGTGATATTTAGTATAAAAGCAATGACCTAACAAATAGTATAAAACATGTCAGACAAAATACAATCCAACACTAGGCTGTAATTACAAATAAGGTCATTATAATGATCATAGAATTTCTGAAAAGCTGACTTTAAACAGGGTTGTTGAAATCCTTGTAGCATCAACTTATTTGTTAGTAGCTTGCCTTGGTAAAAAAATGATCATAACTAATATTACTACGTAAATAAGAAAAATTGACCATGGCAAAGCTGAAGTCATTCCATTCAACAAACAGTTTAGTTACTAGAAAATAGTATTTTCCCTGGATTGTATTATCTTATAGGGTTTGCAGAAATATTTCCTGTAATCCTGTAATTGTACATGTATACATGTATTACATTATAAGGTCATAAGAGTTATTTTCCTTGATAGTATTACATTATAAGATTTGTAGATTTATTTCCCAAGATTGTATCATAGTATTTTAATTACAGAGCACAGCGGAGGTGGACCCAGGATTAAGTCGATTAAGACCGTCAACTAGAGCTGTGAGTATAAATTTTTGTTCAGTGCTAAACTGTGGGTAGTATTAAATACACTAGAGCTGTGAGTATCAATTTTTCTTCAGTGCTAAACTGTTAGGGGTGAAACGATACACCTCCTTCACAGTTCGATATGTATTGTATAATGTTGTCTTGGTACGGTTATTTTCGATACGATACATTTTGATAGAAGGAAACAAATTCAACGTTGTTTTATGCTTTCTTTTACTAAATCTAGTCACTTAATTTACAAATTTTATTTGCAAATTGACTAGAAGAAATTAATAAGAATTATTTTACAAACTATCAGTCCTCAAAAATTTTCGTTTTCTATTCTTACTTATACTGAGTAACGTGTTTTACCTTATGCCAAACCCGACTGAATAATGATCCCAGCCGAAAAATGATCCGAACAGAAAATTAGAGATTTTCACAATGTATCAAACCGAGAAAAAATACCGCGGTGAACCGTTTCACTCCTATAAACTGTGGGTACAGTATTAATGTTACAGAATGTACATTTATGTAAAGTTTTCACATAGATTTTATAAAACCAGGCACCCAGTGCAGGGCTTTCAAAATCAGCTGGTACTCGGTACTTTTACCCAAAATCTTAATTATACCGGCCAAAAAATATTCAATGGAGAAAAATTTGATAACATTTTCATTTTTCAAATTATAGCTTTATATTGTCTTTTGTCCACACATATAAATGTTTTTGATTGGTTAGTCAGTGGAAATCAATAAGACATTTGAATATATATAGCTTATGGCTTAAGTGAGCTTGTCAACCTTGATGAAAACAAATGCAGGTATCAATACTTTTTAGAGATGTTTAAAATGGCTAAAACTTCATCTTTGTCATCTTCTGTTGAGTTTTCCCTTTCTCTGATGCCTAGATTATCTACCTGCCCATTGGACTTTTGCGAGAAGCGCTGACTTTTACAATCAACGGCTTACTTTTACACTAGGACAGTATATGGAAGCTCTTTTGCGATATTAATATTATGCTTAAGGAGGGATTCTTCTCATATTTCTTGTTTTTAAAAATTAATGAATTTTTCACAGATTCAAGAAGACATTATCACTGGGTGATGGTATCAATTAGATTAAATTTGACCATTTATTTTAGAAGCAAGGTCAGGTCAAGGTCATTATCTTTTTCCTTCACAATAAAAATAAAAAGTTACTGTTGCCGTTCATGCAATGCCTACTGTACTTCTATTTCAAAAGTTTAAATACTTTTCTTTTTTTGCATAAAAAGATACATGTACTACCATATAAGGTCTTTCAGATGATACTACCAAATCCAAATGAATAATTCAACTAAAATAGATATTGGCTAATCCAAATTTCCTCTATATTTCTTAAATTTTTAGGATATATTAGTTATTTTAATATGCTTCGTATATTTAAATTTTTCTTATTTTCATATATTATGGTAATTTTAAAGTAGTCATATAAAGATACAAACTGATACAAATACAAAAAGTTTTGACCGTTTACTTAGTGAGAAAAAACACTGTTTACAGATTTTTTGCTCAAATCTATACTTAGATTGGAAGCTTAATCCCCTATTATCAATTTTACTTGCATTTAAAATTTTTTGTAAAGTCTTTGATTGTTTAAAGATTTTAACGAAATTCATTGTTCTATAGTAATGTTAAGAAACAGAAAAGGAGATATTTTCATACGCTGTCGTTCCGCCAAAAATATAGTCCCTGCTATATTTCAAATTCAGTTTACCATTTCTTTTTTGACTTGTACAACTATGATGAGGAAAGAAAAATATGATTTTTTAAATCCCTTACATCTAAAAGTATTAGACCTATAAATGAATATACTTTGAATATCTCATCTAGTCAGAAACCAGATGAGAATCCCTCCTTAACAGTTAATTAAACGATGATAATGGGTCATTTCGAAGCACATATTATGTCGTCTAGGAAGGGAACGGCAACCACCCTACCCTCAACCCCTCTCTTCCCAAATTGACCAACTCTTGCTTAGTTTTCCTTCCGGAATGTTTTTTTCTTCCTTATTTGATTCCTCCAGAAACTGAGATTGAAAGGAGATACTACCCCTTTCAAATAAGGTAATTTATAAGTTAATATGTAATTCTGCCTCCCATCATCTCTTGCATTGATTGCATCATGTAAGTGCCCCTAACACCATACCTATAACCACTATTAAGGTTTTCTTGTCTATTATCAATTCCGTACCTCCATACATTAGGCAGGTTTAAATGTCAAAGTAAGCCATCGACTGTAAAAGTCAATGCTTCCTGCAAAAGTCCATTAAGTGGAACCTATACCAGCAAACGTTTGAAGGGTATGGAAATCCGGAAAAATGCTTTCATGAAACCTCTATGCCTTATCTGAGGATCTATAAAATTACACAAAATAAAGGCAGAGCTTTGTAATTTTAACAACTGATAGAATACAACTTTCTTCTAAGATAATTCTAAACAATAGAGATGATTATAAGGCTTAATATGTTTTTCTTAAATGATCATATTGAGCATGAAAGTTGACATTTGATTAAACATTTTACAGAGCAAATATATAGTCAGCACAAGCCCAGTAGATAAGGTCTGATTCTCTATTGTATTGTAGTTTGTTGTTTGTTTAACCAACTGTTCATCCATCAAAGAACAGAGTTCACTCAGAATTTAAGAAATATATGTTTATATAATAAAATGCTTATTCTCCAATAATTTATGTCTGAATAGTGAATAATACTTGGCAGTTGACATGAAGTTACAGGTTTATCTCTAAGATTTGAAATACATCAGGGGACATTAAAAAAAAGTAGAAAGGAGTCTGGGGTTCCTCTCCTAAGAGAGGATTGAGGTGGAATACCAGAATAACGGGGGGATAATGTCACTTTCGACGGGAAAATTACCAGGCCCCCAGGTCTTAGGGACAACCTTGTAGTTACCAAATTTTTATGCCCCCCTTCGAAGAAGGGAGGGCATGTTGCTTTGCTGCTGTCTGTCGGTAGGTTGGTCTGTCTGTCTGTTTGTCTGTCTGTCTGTTGGTCCATCAACAGTTTTCATTCATTTTCTTCACAGAGGTTGCACATACTGAAATGAAATTTGGTATACAGATTTATCATAAGAATATCTAGGTCTAGTTCTGTTTTGGGTATGATCGAGCAATTTTTGACAGAGTTATCCCCTTTGGACTTAGAAAAATTCCAATTATTTGAGGGGGGCATAAGTGTTTTACAAACATCTCTTGTTCTTTAATGGTTTTATACCCCTCACATGAAAAGTGGAAGGGGGGTATATAGTGGTAGGGGTGTTTGTTCTTCCATCCATAGGTCCTTTCGTCTGTACGTCTATATATCTGTAACACTTTGGGGTTACCCATCTCTTATCCACAACTCCTTCTATACCACTGAATAAGATTAAATAAGACTTTCACAGAATCTTTATTGCATAGTGCTATTATATATCTCTCATTTTGTGTTCTCTGATTGGACAGATATTTAGGGTTTCTCAACAAAAAATGGACTATGCCATTATACTCAAATGGGAGTGTGTGTGTGGGGGGGTGGGGGGGGGGGGTGGGGGGGGGAGTGGGGGTATCATTTTGTGAAGTCAGTGCTCACAGTACCTCAAGGTTAATTACAATGAATATGTTGCCATTGTTACAACCCCCCATCCCCCCTCCCCCCCAAAAAAGAGTAACCTGATAAATTCATTAATCAATGTTGTCAGTTACTGGAAAATAGTAAAACACCTTGAATAATTAAAAGTGCTACTTGTCTTTTATTTTTTTTCTTATTTCATAACTTTGAGCCAAATTTATCATGGTCCCATTGGGTTAGGTGGAGGCATAATAGTGGGTCAAAGTTTATATTTGTATGGGAATAAATAGAAAATTTAAAAAAAAAAAAAAGAGTTTTTAAGAATAGCAGGACTACAGTAAATCATATTAATATTTAATCATTCCCACAAGTTATGTGGATTCAGGTTATTTTATGTTCCTACCATGAAATGGCTATGGTATGTAGTATTGTCCCTTTCTATCATTCTGTCATTCCATCATTCTATCATTCTGTCACTCCATCATTCTGTCATTCCATAGATATTTTTTGGACTTTTTTACTGTGCTTGTAGATGAGCTGATTTTTGGTATATCTCTTGATACTGATAATCAAGTTTGAGTTTTTTGTTAAATGAGCTATTTTAACAACAGTTATGGCCCTTAGACTTTGAAATTTTTTAATAGTTCACCGTTTTTCTAGATTTATGTTTTTGATTATTGGTATGTCTCTTGATGTTGATGAGTTACAGATCAAGTTTTATGTTGATTGACTCATATTTTAGCTCTCCTAAGCTGAAAACTACTAACTCTTCAAATTATGGACCCTGGGATTGTGTCACTTTGGTTAAAATTGGGGATCATATTTTACAAATGAATGTATACTGGTAAAATATTTGTAAAATAACTTCATATTAGCAATGACATGTTGTCACCATTGTCATATTGACACTGAAGCATCCCCATGTTGTGTGGATCAATTTCTTTTAGGTCATGACCTCTTTGGAGATGCAGGATGAGGTCAAATTTTTATGGAATTCTTTTTAAATTCTCAGGAACATTAGTTGGGCCAAAGTAATTCAGATGAGCATTGTGGCCCATGTTCCTCTTGTTTAATGAATTAAATTAAGCACCATGATTTTATCTGTTAATATAAGTAGTGTCCTTTGCATTAACTTAATTAGTGTTACATGTATATTTGATTTAAAATTTCTTCCTTCATAGTTGTTTACCCTGGGTAATTGAGCTTCTATTTCTATCAAAAGGACAAAAGAAGTTTTCTGTAAATATTTGATTCAAAATACAATTCCAGAAATTATAGATTGTGAAAGCTAAGCCTTAGATGTTTTTATGCTACATAAATACTTAATAGATAATTATCAGTGGGGGAAAAAATCTGGTTTATGAAGCAAATATGAAGAGACTGTGGTTATTTTTAGTGTACGTTGGTCACAAGGTGAAGACTTGTTAGGAGACTATGATTCACCTGTGGTATCTACCTGCTGTTTGTGTCAGCTTCCATTGAAATATTGATTATTCCTGTCTCACACTCACATATAACTCCAAATCTACTGCCAACTGGTCATTTATTTTGTGCTGAAATCCTCTGCGGAATATTTATTTGGCTAATACAAAATGGTAACCTGGAATGATAGATCAGGGAAATCTTATTGTTTGATTGATAGCCCTGTATACTGCTTCTGTCTCACCCTAGCCATTGTCTCTATATTGTACCTGTTTATATGTTGTTCTTAAGAAAGAAGTATGATGTTCAGTGAATATTTTTCATTATGCATTTTATACAGAATAATTTTCTTTCATTTATTGTACATCTTGGTTCTTCATTACATGGGCTTGGTGATCAGGTGAAATTGATCAGTAGAAAAAGGCATTATGATATTGATAAGTTATCAAGTAAATGTATTATGTATTTCATTTGTAAAAAATGATAAGGAAATATCATTACATGTCCTTTTTGATCAGTATTGTAACTTGCTTATCAGAGGCTCAAACAGATCTTTAATAGCTGTATCCTCTATTGTAGCCCCAGCAGGCTCCAGTGTCCCCACCCACCCAAGTCCCCACTGGTCCTGTCAACCCATCAGCGGAGCAGATGACCAAGTTAAAAACAGAGCTAAACGTAGTCCAAGGTAACCTCCGAGTAATGAGTGAGATGTTAACGGAACTGTCTCCTTCTAATATTGACCCTTCAGATCTAGAGCTCTTACAAGAACTCAACAGGACAAACAGACAGATGCAGCAGCGATTGGTGGAATTAATAGACAAAATAGCTAATGAGGAGGCTACAAGTAAGTCACATGACTTTTTTGTCACACATATGTTGAATTGTTGATCACCGACATCTGTTCTTCTGTCTCACTATCTGGGAGGAGTAATACTTATACAAAAATACTCATCAGATCAAATCTTAGAATTTCCATGTGATATTATTTAGCAGGTTTAGTGAGATAAATGCTTGAATGAGTTCAAGGTCTAATCAAATGTCAAGGTCATGGCTGGTGATATCGGGTCACTTGGTAACAGGTGCCTTTGTTGCTCAAACTAGGCTATGGATTTCTGTGCATGAACTTGAGAATCTACAATTGGTTTCGGGGGTCAAAGGATAACTACAGTACAGGCAACGCGGATCCCGTATTTCCCGCGCCCCGTCGCGGTATAAACACAACGCGGGATTTGGCCAGGTGAGACAGGTAAACCGCGTTCCCTCCGCGGGAAATTCATCACCTACCTGTCCCCGCCGCGGTTAAATCATCGATCAATTAGTATCGTAAACAAACGGGAGTTATCTCCCCGAACAGGAATTAAAAAAAAAACAAAAATCAAGTTCTGCAGTGTATGTATTATGAAAGTATTTTCTTTTATTTTGTAACAGTGAGGTGAAAATAATGAACATACTCCAAAAAAGAATTTGTAAAGCTGCAAAAGATATTTTAAACGTTTTTTTTTTTTTTTTTAAATAATTATTTTTTTTAAAATTATATGTCAATACTAAAGAGAACCTTTTGTTTTAAATACTATCAAGAAAACTATTTATAAGCCGTGTCATTTGAGAGTTTAGCATGACAAATTTTAATGTCGGAAAATATAAGTTCTAAATTTTTAAAACCTCTCTTCAAATTATATGCGAACTGCAATTATACTGTTACATACACGTGCTAAACAATAGTCAGTGCGAGTTCCGATTAGCAGTTTTCAGCATTCCTATGAGGTAAAAAAAAAAATACATTACATGTATATTAATACTGTTTATGTTTTTTGTATTTTTACCAAAGAACAGTAGAATTTACTTTAGAACAGTATAATTCATTTAATTAATTTCAAATATAAATTTGCAAGCATTTCTCTGAAATTGTCGAATGACCGAAAAGCTGTAATAATCGATGGTGAGGGCACGTGAACTTTATACAAGATATCGATAAAATATAACATAATTTTTTTTTCCTCAATATTTACTTCTTCTTACTGGTAAAAAATGTTTTGTTTTTAATTTAATTATTTCTCCAATTACAGAAGTTAGGATGTGCATGGTGATGAATTCCACAAAACAATTAACCAGGGGAGGGGGGGAGGTATAACACTTAAACTTCTTATTCTCAATGTGCGAAGAAAAGAAAAATTAAAACGCTAAGTTTACTTGAATATATTCTGTTTCTTTGTGTATTAAGTATTAATCGCGATCATATCCTGTGTATATGGATTAGCAGACCAAGAGCAGGAAACGGCATGCCCTGGGGGTTTCACACCTGTCCTAGAGTATCTGGGAATGTGCAAGGCGTTGTCTAGCCATACAACACACCGGTCCCTTCAATGTTTCATTATTTCTTCATTTTTAAATGAAATTACAACCATGAAATTAACGCGAGTCAATACATACTTGCCATTTTTTTTCCATGAGTGTATTAAAGGAAAAAGATCAATCATACTTTTAAAACAAATTAATAGACTTTAAATAAAATAAATCAAATCAATATGTTTCATTACTATTTTCTATAAATGCCAAAGAGCTTGATATTTATGTTTATGTTTAAATATGTTACATGTGCATATGGTATGTAAGTAGAATTTAAACAAAAGAAAGAAAAAGCCGTACAGAATGTTACGGCACGTGCATCGTTTTTCCTTCAATCAGTTCATTGATTTATTGAGTCCATCGATTAAAACAAAATATTCAATGAAATGAATTGCTTCTGGAATTTTTTTTTTCAGTTTCAAATTAAAGTAATCGTTTCTGTGAACAGATAATATTATACTGTATCCAATTTATCAATTTACTGACCAGTTGTGGACTTTGATTGTCCAATTCTACGATCGATTTTCTGAAAAACACGGAAACAGTAACAGCCACAGACACTATTTTACTAAAAAAAATCTAACTGCTTACAGGACATTTATTTATCAGATCGCCAATATTGCTTCACGATGTAATATTACGCAATCTGAAGGTTTTGCAGGTATCTCGTTGGGGTAATGGCCAGTTACCGGTACACAGACACCTGAAAACTCGTAGCCTATCGCACTAACACATTTTGTCTCTGAATATAATAATTTTTTTTGTGTTGTATGTTCAAATTATTTAAGTGCCCAAAATCAGCTGGTAAAAGAGTGTCTTTCCGATTTGACGATGCGTGTAAATGAAAATACTGATGAGCATGATCATATTATTTTCAAAAAGAAAGAAAATGGAAAAACTAGCTATGAAATTATCCTAAATATATAGGATTTAATGATTTTATTAACAACAATGACGAAAAAAAGGTCATGTTGATATTAATTCTACAGTCTTACATGTTTAACGCATAATATTAGCAGTTAAAGGTGCAACATATTCCTAAATGTATACGTGCTTAATACTGTTACCATCTCTATCTATCATCGTTTTTCATTCTAATAATTAAATCAGATATATATATATAAAGGCATATTTTATTTTTAAGAAACCAATGACCGAATATGATCGAATCTCGCAGAAAAATAAACGCATTAGCTTCATGTAACCGAGAACGTAACTGCACGGTCTAATCGTGGACACTGCATTGCAATGCATAAAGAAACGATGGCATTAAAAAGTATCTAATGCTACTGTTATAAGGTATTATAAGGTGAATTATTTAGCGATTTCAAGATAATTTATGTTGGAATTATTAATTTTAAATAATTATTTACAGTAAATGAGCTGATGATACATGTACATGTATTTCATCGAATTTTACCACACGTACTAGCTATATATACTTTCTTTAAATATGAGAAATAATTAATCTTGAGTGGATGTTGATAGAAAACATAGGAAATAAATAATTATTATACAATTTGATATAACTTAGAATTAAATCAAAAATTCATTTAATGATATTCACGATATAATGTAGGCCATGATCTTCAATAAATTACCCCCTCCCCCCTTTTTCGTCGCGATGAAAAATCGCAAACACTTTACAGGTAACAACTCTAAGCTGAACAAAAACGGTAGCTGATCCCGCCGCGGTGTAAACACGGTCGCAGGGAGTACCGCGATCAAAACCCGCGACGGTGTAACGCGGAAAGGATTAACACACCACCGAGGGGACGCGGTCTAATACGGGATCCGCGTTGCCTGTACTGTACTGTTGCTTTGAATAAAATTTTTGGCAATTACTTTCAGATGCTTAGGATTTAGATGTTTATATCTATACAGTGTATTGTTCTAATGAAGTGGGGTCAGAAAAGAAAACTTTAAGGGTGTGGGTTTTTTTGCTAAAAATAGAATTTTTTGGCAATAGCCAAAAAAAAAAAAAAAAAATAAGGGTAGGGTATTTTATAATTTATATTAAAAATTTCTCTGATGAAGAGGTAGACAGGGAGTGTTTCTGGGAATAACATGTTTTGCTTCAAGTCCAATTTTCGTATCTATGCTTTAGGTTGATCAAGCGTTTTCCAGGATATTTTGGGTCCTTGAGACCAAAGGGCATGGGTTTTTTCCTCAAAATAAAGATTTCATCAAAAATGAAAACATGCAATTATTTGCTCATAATATTGTCATATAAAGAGAGAAAGATGAACAATTCTGAGGATTCTCAGGATTATGCTTAGGTGGTGGTCTAGGCTCTTACTAAATTTGAATCCAGAAAGTTTTATGTTGTCTTAATTTCTTTAGTCAACTAAATATTATGAAGTAATTTTCCTTTTCATACATTTTGTTTAATAGATGAGCTTTTACGCATTAATGATGACATGAATAACGTGTTTCTGAGATACGAGCGGTTTGAACGATATCGAACGGGACAATCCGGGCAGCAGTCCTCCCAGCCCTCAGAACCCTTACCCTCCGAAAGTGTGTCACCACCCTCATATGAACAGGTCAGTATCCCCTCCTACAGACTTACAGATAGAAAAACACTTTAATTTTGAAGATTAAATGGTATGAATTTAATGATCTTTCAACTGCCACTATAGAACATTGAATTAAAATGAGCTAAAGTTCTTATTCTTCTCTGTAAAAAGTCCATTTTTTAGATGAGAAGTGAATTCACTGTGCTAGAGGATTCTATAGCACTACTTTTGTTTCTGATGGAGTATTTTGCTTCATATGTGTATGCTCCGATTGTGTTCATTACAAACTAGAGATGGTATCGCCAAACATTTTGTATCGCGATTTATCACAATTTTTTTTTTAAATATCACAATAATATGATATTTTTACACATTCTTTTTACTCTGATTTTAAATGAATGTCCATGATTTTTCTTATAAATAAAGTGTGAATAACATATCTGCACTTTTTTCATTTTTATTTATATACCGGTACTAAAAAAGCATGTTTGGATGCTAGGATGCAATTGTTTTACTGTTTTACAACATTTTTACAATTCCTGTATTTGTAATTCAAGAAATTGAACCCAAAAAAAATTATTTACGGAATTTATAATTACATTCTAAATACCAGTATATTAGTCTCCATATCACGATATGTATCGCGCAATAAAATATCACAATATACTGGTATATCGATAAAATCGCACATTCCTATTACAAACATATGACACGTTGTTTATACAGTCTATACATATAATTAGGTTTTCCTCACTACAGGTGGGGATATTGCATTGGTATGATTGTCTGTCTGGCTACCTGTCAATATGTCTGTCAGAGCATCAAGTCCAGCTCATAACTTGAATCCTTTGTTATAAACGGTTTGAACTGTTTTACGTTATTACCTTTGAACTATTGACCTAAAGGTTTGTCATGATCTAGATTCAAATTCAGATCTCCAAGGTCAAGTCCACTGGGCAATGAGGTAGTGAAATCATGTACAGTCCCTGAATCATGAAAGCTTTGTTAGAATGGGTTTGAACGCTTAGAATGTTATTACTCATGTACCATTGATCTAAAGCTTTGAGATGATCAAGACTCAGAGATGTCAAAGGTCAAGGACACTGGGCAATCATTTGGTATTTTGTTGCCCTTGGCGTAATGGTGTTTCATGATCTTTACTAAATTCATTTGGAACAGGTCAAGGTTACTTGTCAATGGGCAGTGAGGTAATGAATTAGTTTCCATGTTATGGTTTATGAACTCTTGATTTGAATATTAGTATTTTATTAATAAAGATGCATCATTTCATTTCAACTTGCATTTTGACTTTATAGACACTTTAAGTGTTTCTGATGACCCAGAGGTGTATCTTAAATTCAAAGTTATTTTTTAGCTCACCTGAGCCGAAGGCTCAAGTGAGCTTTTCTGATAGAAATTTGCCCGTTGTCTTTCGTTGTTGTCGTCATCGTTGTAGCTGCAATAATGTAGCCCTCTCAATTTTTTTTTTAATCTGATATTTTCAGGAGAGGGCTACAATTCCACTGCATCTCCGTAATGGTGCAAATATATTTTTTAGATACGGTCGACTGCAGGCAAAATAAATTGTTTTTGCATTCAACTTACTTCCAATAAGATGGAATTTTTATTCATTTTCAACATCATAGCCCTTTATAAGCGAAAACCAAGTAAAATAAATCTGCGTGTTTACCAGTCGTTCTCTTCAGCAGCCATGACAGTTCTCGCGTGATGTACAGAGACTTGCGCTTGAATTTTAGATGCACTTGATAAAGTAAATGTTGTGTTGATAAATGTTTGTGTTGTATGATATCACTAAACATCAATAAATAAAAGCATCCCATGTGATTTTTTTTTTTCATAAACAGTGATATATATGCTTAAAATAAGGGAAATCCTAAACGAAAAGCTCCCCTAGATCCCAATTTCTCATTGGTTGTCCCAAAATAAAATCGATCAAGGTCAGTAAACATGGCGGATAAATTCAAGTTGTGATGTTGACATACACGAAAAATAACCGATATACGGATTGTTCTGTATATTTTTGGATCAATTCATGTCTTGCATAACTACATTTTATGAGTTCGGGTAAGATATGTTAATAAAATACCCACTTACTGATAATTTGAGCCGAAATCTGTGCGGTAGTGAATCATTCCTGCACTAGCACCATTACGGAGATCCTAAGGAGTTGTAGCCCTCTCCCAAAAAAAAAAAAAAAAAAAAATCAGAGAGGGCTACATTATTGCAGCTATCGTCGTTGTTGTCGTAAACTTTTCACATTTTCATCTTCTTCTCAAGAACCACTGGGCCAATTTCAACCAAACTTGCCACAAAGTACTGTAGATTCCTTATTTTTCGCGAGTACTTATTATCGCGAAATGGCTCTTTCACGTCAAATAGCGAGAACAGTAATTCGCGAGTGGACGGTTGATCAAGGGATTTTACATCGATTTCAACACCATAAAAATAAAAGCGAGAAATTTTATTTTGCGAGTGGTGCTTCTCGCGTAATTACGCAATAATTAATTCCTCGCGTATATTTAGGAATCTACAGTATCCTTGGGTAAAGGGGATTCAAGTTTGTTCAAATGAAGGGCCATGCCTTCTTCCAAGGGGAAATAATCATGAATTTGTGAAAAATTAATGGCATCATTTAAAAATCTTCTTCTCAAGAACCACTGTGCTTGAAAATATGAAACTTAAGTGAAGCATCCTCATGTAGTGTAGATTCAAGTTTGTTCAAATCATGACCCCCGGGAGTAGGATGGGACCACAACGGGCGATCAAAGTTTTACATAGGAATATATAGGAAAACTCTTTAAAAATCTTCTTCTCAAGAACAACAAACCCATGATTAGTCATATTTATATGGAAGCATCCTCAGGTAGTGTAGATTCAAGTTTGTTCAAATCATGACCCCCAGGGGTAGAGTGGGGCCACAATGGGCGATCAAAGTTTTACATAGGAATATATAGGAAAAATCTTTAAAAATCTTCTTCTCAAGAACAACAAACCCATGATTAGTCATATTTATATGGAAGCATCCTCAAGTAGTGTAGATTCAAGTTTGTTCAAATCATGACCCCCAGGGGTAGAGTGGGGCCACAATGGGCGATCAAAGTTTTACATAGGAATACATAGGACAAAGCCTTTTAAAATCTTCTTCTCAAGAACAGCAAAGCCATAATTAGTCATATTTAAATGGAAGCATCCTTCAGTAATGTAGATTCAAATTTTGTTCAAATCATGACCCCCCAGGAGAATAGAGGGGTCATAACAGGGGATCATAGTTATACAAAGGAATACAAATGATAAATCAATAAAAATTGTCTTCTTAAGAACAGCATATCCATTATTTGTCATATTAATTAAAAAGCATCCCCTTGAAGTATAGATTCAAGTTCAAATCAACACCCACCCACCAACCCCCTCGAACCACTTTTATATCGAAACTTTTCAAGACTGAACTGATTTCTGCTTTTTCCAAGCCAGAGTGCTCAGGAGAGTGATGTGGCCCCTGGGCCTCTTGTAAAGATCAAGGATGCTAGGTAATAAAAGAAAAACTGTGCTTTACCATGATAGAAAATATATTTAAACTAGGGATGGCAATCAAATACAGAATTGCTACAGGTAATCAGTTAACCGCAAGATGTTTCGGTTAACTGAATTTTTCTTGATAATTTTTTTCAAGAAAGCTCTATTCATATATGCAAGAAAACATAAAAAAAATGGCATTAGTGATATTCTATTTATATTTGATCAAAACCCAATAATACATTTTATTTCTAATTACATAGAAATAAGTAAATTTAAAAAACCATAAAACATGCCTGATATATCAGAGATAATAATAATTTTTCAGACAAGATGTCATATAAACTCATTCTGCATTGTCACCTTAATCAGATCTAAGTCTGAACTATTTTTGATTAACATTGTTAATGACTTACTGGACCTATCAGGACCTTGACTCAGGATCATATCTCAAATGACGATCAAAAAAAATAATTGGGGAAAGGAGACATGCATTTTTGTCTGCAACAAAAAACCCGGCAAACAAACATCTAGGTCTACATTTTATTTTCAGGCGTCCTCACCTGGACCCGTCCCTTCACAGCCTGCCCCAGCTGTAGGAAATCTCATTGACCTAGGGGATGACACCCATGTCCCAGCCCCACAGCTGGCCCCACAAGTTACATCACAGATGGCCAATCTAGGTAAGAAATCCTATAGGTGAATAGAGGCAGATGGAAAAGTTGTTACAAAATACATGTATCACCATGGTTGACAGTGCTTACCAAATTGCACAAGGGTTACATAATGTCACTTAAAACATAATATGAAATAAATTCAAATTGTATTCTGCAATATCTATTGTCTCCATTAGGTATTATTGTGATTGATTTGTACTCTTTACGTGTACAGAAAAAATCACGTTGTTGTTTTCTTGGTAGATATTGGAAGCAATTCAGCGCCGAGCACAGGTCACAATGATGATGATTTTGATATGTTTGCCCAATCCAGACAGTCCTTTGATACCAATAGACAGACAATGGGGTAATTAAAAAATATCTGTAACAACACATCTGTGAGGCAAGAACTCAATTAAACATTGTCTACTGTTCATTTAAGATCAGTAACTAAATCTTGGCATGACAAAATGTAAAAATTTTATGTTTTAGAAGTTACGCAAATCAGCAGGAGGACCAGTTTAATAAAGCTGGATTAGGAGCTGTGGTCAACTCCAAAAACAATGTAAGTCATTTCTTATGACACCAGTATGCTAAGAAAGTGAATAGGTTCCGTGCCATGAACACTAAATCTTAAGAATTTTAAAGCATGTTTATGAAGAATGATTTGTCAAAATGCCTTTTCAGTTTACAACAGATGAGGAAGTATTACAGGTAATAAGGAATGATTGTAGTGGCAGAATTAAGCTGGTTCTCGGCTTCATTTCTTTGCTTTACTGTAATCAACTCTCATACTTGATAACATTTTGTGTGCTGGATTCTGGGAATTCACTAACGTACATGTAAAACTAGCTCATCAGCCTCTGAAGTTAATCAGTTTTAGCTCACTTGAGATGAAAGCTCAAGTGAGTTTTTCTGATCAACTTTTGACTGGCATCTGTCTGTCTGTAAACTTTTCACATTTTCAATTTCCTCTCAAAACCATTGGATCAATTTTAACCAAAGTTGGCACAAAGCATCCTTGGGTTAAGGGGATTCTAAGATTTTAAATTGTTCAGATGAAGGGTCCTTTTCCAAGAGGACATAATCATGAAAAGGCAAAATAGGTTGGGATCATTGATAAATCTTCTTTACAAGAACCACTGGACCAGAAAATATGAAATTTTAATGAAAGCTTTCTAGGATAGTTTAGATTCTAAATTGTTCAAATCATGGTCCCAGGGATAGGGTGGGGCCAAAAGTTTTACTTTGAAATATATAGGAAAAAAATCTTTAAAAAACTTCTTAAGAACCACTGGACCAGAAAAGATGATATTTATTTGAAAGCTTCTTTGGGTAGCATAGATTATAAATTGTACAAATCATGGCCCCCTGGAGGGAAGGTTTGGGCCATAGTAGGGGGATCAAATGTTTACATTGAAACATAAAGGAAAAAATCATTTGAAAAAATCTTTTCAAAAACCAATGTACCAGAAAAGATCAAACTTGTGTGAAATCCTCTTAATATAATGTAGATTCTAGATTGTACAAATCATGGCGGTGGGGGAGGGGGGGGGGCACAATAGGGGATCAAAGTTTTACATGGGACTATCTAAGAAAATTTTTTGAAAATCTTCTCTAGAACCACAATAGAACCATTAATTCGCAAACATTCCCAAGTTGTGTGGATTCAATTTTTTTTTCAAGTTATGGATCCTGGGTTAAAGTGGCTTAAATCAGGATCAAATTTAAAATAATGCATGTATATAGGAAAAGAATTTTCTTATCCATGACTGCAAGGTCATCTTAGTTATATTGAAACATCCTCATGCCATGTGGATTCAGAGACCTTTTAGACCATAATATGGGATCACAATGTTTCATGGGAATATTTTTTTTTAGAAATCTGAGGATTACAGCAAGGTTTAAGTTAGTCAGGTGAGTGTTGTGGCCCATGGGCCTCTTGTTACAGAAACCAGAGATACACTGTAAATTTTGAAGAAATTTCAAATGATGTTTTTTTTAACATTTATTGTCATTGTTCAGATTCTTATAAATCACTGCTCTGTGAGGCTATTTTCACAATTCTTTGATTTTATTTTAAATCTATGAGAGAAAAAGTTACCTTAGTTTTTTCTCATTTTATTTTAATGTTTATCAGCTATTTGTTGAACATGTTGTGAATTATAGTCACTGTAGACACAGTCACATCGTTAACATTTTGGGTACATTTGCTAACTCATGTAAATCTGTGTTAAGTATACAGGGAGGAGTTTAACTAAGGGATGATTTGATTGACATGTGTACATTACAGCTCATATGATAGGCATATAGGGAGGAGTTTAACTAAGGGTTGATTTGATTGACGTGTGTACGTTACAGCTCATATGATAGGCATATAGGGAGGAGTTAAACTAAGGGTTGATTTGATTGACATGTGTATGTTACAGCTCACTAAAGAAGAGGAGGAGGTCCTTAAGGTAACAAGTCATGCATGAGGAAGCATGGTCAATGACCAGGGATCACTCATCCGTGACATGGTCAGATCCATAGTCAGAAGAATGTCACCTTCAGAACCTAATATTTTTGTTCTCTATTTAGTGTATACACAAAAAAAGACAGATTCTGTTTTACTTTCACTTTTGATTTGAGAAGTACAGACAGGCCATATGTGTGTTATACGTATATTGCCACGAAGACGCAGCAATGCATTCTGACCTTGCTTTATAGAAATGGGAAGGGAATTCAGAAGTTTTTTCTAAAAATGCATGATCATAATTTTTCTCAGCTCAAAGTAGTTGCTGTGTCTGTAAATTACACCTTTTTTTTCACTTAACTCATTTTGTGTTTTAAAAAGTGGCACATTTCCTCTGAGTCAGATTTATTAGCTCTTCTGAGCCAAAGGCTCAAAGAGCTATTGCTATGGCCATTTGTGCGGTGTGCGTAAACTTTTTAGAATATGGGCCATATCTCAAGAACCCCTTGGTCAATTATTGTCAAATTTGTCACAGGGTATCCTTGGCCCAAGGGCTCCCTTTTATACTAAAACTGGGGTTGTGACCCTTTAACAAGGGGAGATAATTAGGAAAATAGAAACAAAAGTACTGGTTGCTAAAAGATCTTCTTCTCTAGAACCACTGGGCAGATTATCACCAAACTTACACAAAAGGATGAGGATATGTTGTAGATTAAAATTTGCACGGGGATTTACCCTGGGGCAAAGGGCGTGGTCTCAAGGTCACTTCAAAGTTGACCAAAAATTACATTTTATTAAAATGTTGATATTTTGCTTACTATAAGGACTAGGATCATCAAATCTTGTCAGTTGGTGCATCTAAGGACCTCATATCATGTTGACTCAAAAGTAGGTCACGGTGACCTACTTTTTAAATTTTGCGGCCATTCTTTTTCAAAATGATTTAGAGGCATATTTTGAACAATTTAAGGCCTATGATCATCAAACTTTGTCAGTTGATACATCTTGGGTCCTCAAAGTACGTCAACTAAAAAGTAGGTCACCTTGACCTACTTTTTGAATTTTATGGCTAATCTTTTTTAAAACAATTAAGGTCATTAATTCGAATACGGGGAGGCTTAGAATCATTAAATCTTGTAAGATGATGCATCTTTGGGCCATAAAACATATTTATTAAAAAGTAGGTCACAGTGACCTACTTTTTGAACTTTGCAGGCATTCGATTTCAAAGCGTTTTAGAGGCATAATTTGGACATTTAAAGTCCTATGATCATAAAACTTTGTAAGTTGATGCATCTTGGATCCTCAAAAAAGGTCAACTGAAAAGTAGGTCACCATGACCTACTTTTCAATTTATATGACTATAATTAAATATTTCAGGTACTAATCGGCTTAGAATCATCAAACTTTGTCAGTTGATGCATCTTGGGTCTTCGGAGTAGGTCGACTAAAAAGTAGGTCACAGTGACCTACTTTTGAAAATTTATGGCGTTAATTAAATATTTCGGGTACTAATTGGCTTAGAATCATCAAACTTTGTCAGTTGATGCATCTTGGGTCTTCAGAGTAGGTCGACTAAAAAGTAGGTCACCGTGACCTACTTTTGAAAATTTATGGCTTTAATTAAATATTTCGGGTACTAATTGGCTTAGAATCATCAAACTTTGTCAGTTGATGCGTCATGGGTCTTCGGAGTAGGTCAACTAAAAAGTAGGTCACCGTGACCTACTTTCGGAAAATTTATGGCTTTAATCAAATATTTTGGGTACTAATTGGCTTAGAATCATTAAACTTTGTCAGTTGATGCGTCTTGGGTCCTCGGAGTACAACAACTGAAAAGTAGGTCAGGGTGACCTACTTTTGAAATTTTATGGCTGTATTTAATATTTTCAGGAATTATTTGGCTTAGAATCATCAAAATTTGTCAGTTGATGCATCTTTGGTCCTCGGAGTAGGTTGACTGAAAAGTAGGTCACCATGACCTACTTTTGAAAATTTATGGCTGTAATTAAATATTTTGGGTACTTATTGGCTTAGAATCATCAAACTTTGTCAGTCGATGTATCTTTGGTTCTCGGAGTACAGCAACTGAAAAGTAGGTCACGGTGACCTACTTTTTTTTTTGTTTTGAAAATTTATGGCTTTAATTAAATATTACAGGTACTAATTGGCTTAGAATCATCAAACTTTGTCAGTTGATGCATCTTTGGTCCTTGGAGTAAAACAATTGAAAAGTAGGTCACTTTGACCTACTTATAAAATTTTATGGCTATAATTTTAAAAAATATGTTAGGTATTTATTGGCTTAGAATCATCAAACTTAGTTGATGGGTCCTCAGAGAATGACAAGTGATAAGTAGGTCACCATGACCAACTCTCAGGTACTAATTGGCTTAGAATCATCTTGGGTTCTCAGAGTGTGAATTGGAATTTCAAGGGTTTATCTAAATATACAGGATACTTCGAGGCTTCAAATAGAAGTGATAGGTTGTACAGTTTATCAGAAGAGCGATTCAAGGCCCATGGGCCTCTTGTATGTACAGAAGGATGTTGCTGTAACATTAACACAGATGCTATTACCTTAAGAAACATAAACAGATTGAAACTTGGATATTTTGATATTTGGATCAGATACATTTTTATGTGAAATATTTGCCAATGACAATAGTAAGCTTATACATGTATCACTGTAGGAATATAGACTATTCTAAGCCATTATATATGAGGAACATTATTACAGAAATAACATTTTATTAAATGGCATTTGAAATTTAGCCTGCAGAAAAAAATTACTCAGAATGCAGATGTGTAGTCAATGGAAATATGTCAAGTATTAATCATTTCAGCTTACTCGATTGTTCAAGTGGGCTTTTCTGATCAAAGTTAAGTCAGTCTGTCCTGTACAATTAGGCTCAAGTCACTTAGAAATCTTAAATAACTAAACAATAAAGAAAACAAAAAAAGAAAAGATTCCTAATAGTGTAGATTCATATTTGTTCAAAGTTGTGTCTCATACATAAGTTATGGTGGTTTCAATGGGGGAGGGGGGATAAAGTTTACTTAAAACTTTGTAAGAAATATCTTTAAAAACTTTTAAATTTTCAAAAAGAGCAGGAACTAATTTAAATCATACTAATTTGAATGGAGTCTTTAATCCTTGTAAAGAGTAAGGCTTTCTAATTTATATGTCCTTAGGAGCCAAAGTGAGCAATGTAGTCATCCCCATGTGGTATAGATATAATTGTATTCAAAATATGACCCATAAAGTATAGGTGGGTCAATTAAGGATCATAATTTCTCAGTTTCATCAGAATACATGCAATTTTGAAAACAAATATTTTCTAGAACACAAATTGATCTGCAAGCATCCCCATGTAGAGGAGAGTAAAATTTGTTCTAATTATAGCCTCTGGGACGGGGATGGAGCCACAGTAAAGGGGGGGGGGTTGATTTCTACCTAATATTGTATTCAATTTTTTTAAAAATATTTTTTCAAGTTCAGCAATCTCTTGTGTATGGTATAATTTCCCACACAAGTTTCATGTTGATGATAACAATACCTTAAAAACATAAAATTTAAAAGTACAAAATTTGGAGAAAATGGCAGATGCTTTCTATACAGGCACACAGAGAGATCAAAAACTATGTGGAGCATGGTATGAATCTGCAAAGATGAGCATTTAATGATACATGTAAAAACAAAATCTGGAGATTAGTCTTGATTGTCAGCCCAGACAGAGATTGGTTTAATTATTAGTGTATTTTATAATTAGCCCTTTCACATTAATGTATTGCAGGGCAAATTGATGTACCTTTGGCAAAGCTTTTTTGCTTGATAATTAAATGACATTTATTAAACAATTGCTGTTATATCATTTTTCACCAAACTATATCAATTTGCCCTGCAAAAGAGCAGTACTACAGTACAGTTATCGTCTATTGGTGAAGCATCACAAGTGCCGTATGGCTAACTTAGAGTGGCATTTCTTTGAAAAGAATATTGCTGTTGCTATGAACATGATTACTGTTTCATGGCGTATGCTGACTTCAGATATTATCTTATTATTTTCTTTAGATAAGAATTATCATGATAATCATTGATGTAAAAGAAAAATTACTCGAGGTTTATAAAATTTTTCATATAAATGTTACGTTTTCCTTTTTTTTTAAAAAGAAATAAAACAAAGATGCCTACAATTTTCAGGGTCAACCCTCTATATATAGACTTTGTAATATTATTGTACATTTATATGGTAGAAATGTCCTTTAAGTGTGTAGCCAAAAAGGGGATTCATTGAGTATTGTGGCTCATTGGCTTCTTGTTTAGTGCTTGAAATATGTATTGAATGATTGTATTGTACTAACTTTTAATAATATGTCTTTTAAACCTAATAAATATATTGATTTTATTTTTTTTTTGAAGGGGAAAAAATCTTAGCAAAAATGAATTTAATCAACCCACACCTATTCTTTTTCAAAGCCAAACTTTTGGTACAGTTTTTGGATTTGACAATATTAATACATTATGGTCTCTTGTGGGTTCCTTATCAAAACATCTTCTTGATTTGGCTGTAATGGAAGACCAGCAACTGAAAAATTTTGAGTTTCAATGATGGTTTTCTACACATTCTTTTATAACTACACAAGAGACAGAATTTCATTGTCTCTAGCAGGACTGTTGACAATGAACTAGAACACAAATGTTTTAATATTATGTGCACAAGTGTATCTCTTTCATTTTGTGTAGATTTGCTGTATTCTGTATTTTCTTAACAGTCTGTACTTTAGACAGATACTAGTATTTGTGTATTGTAGATTCTAGTTTTGGAAAAGAATTAGTTTAATATTATTGTACTTCTATTTCACACACATTTTCCATTCAATTTATTTTTTAATAGTATTAGCACTAGAAATTAAAGGCCCATTGATAACAATTTTCTTCCATATGATTTTATTTTTACAATGATTGTTTATAATTGTAGTTACAAGACAAAGAAACAGATTATGCCGAGATGGAACAGTGGCTGACAGCAGAGCAGAAAGCCAGTGTAAGTACCAGTACTGTGTGAATAGGTGTCTACCTTGTTATAGTTACCTAAACAACAGAACAGAAAGCCAGTATAAGTACCAGTACTGTGTGAATAGGTGTCTACCTTGTTATAGTTACCTAAACAGAACAGAAAGCCAGTGTAAGTACCAGTACTGTGTGAATAGGTGACTACTAAGTTATAGTTACCTAAACAGAACAGAAAGCCAGTGTAAGTACCAGTACTGTGTGAATAGGTGTCTACCTTGTTATAGTTACCTAAACAGAACAGAAAGCCAGTTTAAGTACTAGTACTGTGTCAATAGGTGTCTACCATGTTATAGTTACCCAAACAGAACAGAAAGCCAGTGTAAGTACTAGTACTGTGTGAATAAGTGACTACTAAGTTATAGTTACCTAAACAGAACAGAAAACCAGTGAAAGTACTAGTACTGTGTCAAGAGGTGTCTACCATGTTATAGTTACCTAAACAGAACAGAAAGCCAGTGTAAGTACTAGTACTGTGTGAATAGGTGACTACTAAGTTATAGTTACCTAAACAGAACAGAAAGCCAGTGTAAGTACCAGTACTGTGTGAATAGGTGTCTACCATGTTATTAGTTACCTAAACAACAGAACAGAAAGCCACTGTAAGTACTAGTACTGTGTCAATAGGTGTCTACCTTGTTATAGTTACCTAAACAACAGAACAGAAAGCCAGTGTAAGTACTAGTACTGTGTCAATAGGTGTCTACCTTGTTATAGTTACTTAAACAACAGAACAGAAAGCCAGTGTAAGTACCAGCACTGTGTGAATAGGTGTCTACCATGTAAGTTACCCTTGCATAAAGAACAAGTGCACTTATGGACCCCGGTAAAAGGTGAAATGATGAAGATTCAAATTAAGCGTAATTTTTCATCTCTTATCATCAATTGATATCTAAACTGTAAGATTCAACAAATTTTAGCACAGAAATTCATTTTTAAAACAAAGAGCAAAGCCATACAATGTGGTAAGGGTCAGCAGATATGTGTGATTTTCTATAGTAAATCGAGGATGGGCATTCATTTCAAAGCCTTTGTTTATTGTCAGCCTAACGTTGTACAAACTTGTGCTAAAGATAAAACACATTATACATTTATAAAACTTGTGTGACCATAGGAAATCTGTTCAAGATTAGACTGGTACTTAAAATATGAAAAATGTATGAAAAGCTCAATGTTTTTCCTATAGCAAGTAAGAGCTTTTTACTTGTGTGTCCATTGTTGAACCCACCTGTGGAATAAATTATTTTAAATAGTCACACGAGTTTTAACCGGTAAATATTCCTTAAAAATGCTCACCATAAAACACAGCCACGTTTTATGTCATTTGCCAAAGTAATTATTACAACGCTAATTGAAAATGATTTGTACAAACTTTTTGATTCATTATTACTCACATGTATATATTCAGCTTTACTGGTTTTAAATAATATCGAAAAAAAATAAATCAAACTATATTCTTAAATGGTAGTACAGTAAAACATTTCACCCTTTACACCTAAATACCCTTTTGTAATTTAAAGAGTTTTTATCACGTATCTAAATTTCTTAAAAATGAAACACTATTGTATTCTTGAAACATATAATTATCGTTTAATTCTGAAATAATGTTGAAAACGGCCGTAATTAGACGATAAAACACCCGTAATATAGGGTCCTCGAAGTAAAAATCTCCACTAATTAGATAGGGGTCACGTGGTACAGAAACGTCATAGGTGTCAATGGTCAATAGAACTCGTAAAGCTTATCGTAAGAAAAAACATATTGATTAGATTTTTACGCTAAATAAATAGAATTAAGAAATAAACAACAATGTTAAAAAGTTCTCTGGGAAATGAACTTGGTTGGTCACGTGATCAAATCCTGTGAAGCCCAAAGGGCTTCTCAGAAGATTTGATCACGTACCAACCAAGTTCATTTCCCAGTGAACTTTTTAACATTGTTGTTTATTACTTTTATTTACATTTGAGACGAATATTCTGAGTAGAACTGCATTTATTACACAAACGGCCCGCCGTATTGCTATGTTGTGACGCGCAATGACCTAGAAGCTGTTTGTTCTTCAGAGTTCGCCTCGCTCCAACATTTGAATATTTACATGGATGTTAAGCCGTCCAGTTCAGGAAATAACTGTTCGTAATGAAAAAACAATGATCGCTACTGAGAATAATCTTACTATTATTGTACTAGTTCTTTATATATGAAGTCAAAAGCGGTGCTATATCGTCTTCAGTTTACATACCTTCAAAGGAATTTCGGGTTAAAAAGGTAAGCGTGATTTTAGGCTAATTAGAAACATTCTTCACACCAAAGAAAGATCTAACAATCATTTGTTGAACGAAAAAAAAATATATGTTTCAATAATTTTATCTTTTTCATCGCTTTGACGGTTCAGAAGTTCCGAAACCAGTGTCACTGTGACAGAAATATGTAGACAAGATATCGTCTCGCTGTGTGATTCGGTCACGCCATGACCTCTGACCCCCTAATAAGTTCATACAGAATTGAACATATTTTCTCTTCTATAGGTTCATCTAAGAAAAATATTTGCAAATGTAAATAATACATAATATAGCCGGTTGAAATTTTGACATCGACTATATTCCTTTGGTTAGGAACAGTCAATCTTTTATGTATGAACGTCTAGCAGAGAGAAATAATCAGAAAATATGCCTACAGTTGGAGAGGTCACCGAAGACGAAGCCGTTGACAACTCGGGACTTTGACTAAAATAGAACGAATTACTAAAGTATAACTTCGAAAACATTTATGAATATGGGAATTTTAATTCTCCTTCATTGTTATTTTAATTAATTATATATAAATAAATCCTGTATATCTTCTAACTGTTCCAGCAGTGAATATCATGTACTATGACATTTCTTCAATGGCGCCATACGCCATTACGAAGTTCACAACATTCCTACTAGATTCTGTGCGACTTTTAAAAAATGCGTGTTTGTAATTTATTATTTTTTAAAAGGTATTTTTCCTTAAAATATTTTATAGGACAGAAAAAAATCGTGATTGATCGGGCACAAACGATTGCTCTGAATGGAGATAAACGCCATCGCATTTGCAGAACATCTCTCGACCAAATCCAGGAAATGTGGGAAAAAAATTCTTCGTAAAACCTTTCTTGTGCACATTTGTGCATCCTAAAGCCATAGATTATACCTTACTAGCTGTCAATTATCAAATCATCTCTTAATTATTTTCTAACAGGTTTAATAGACACAACAAATGAGCCCTTTTGTACATACACAATAAGTACCTCGCTTGACCAGGATTGACACCTATGACGTCAGAGCAATGGCGCGTAACATCGGCGATCAAAATATGCATACTGAGAAATTCAAACTTTGAATCGCTGAAACATCAAAAATATTAATTTTCTAGCAAAGATTTTTAAATATATGAATTTAATAGCATGTAAACTTTGCTATATCAAAAAATTTTGAGACGTGATAAAAACCCTTTAAAATTGATAAAGAAAATAATGTTAATATTTATTGTATTTTTTCAAATGTAATCGTGCAGAATTCTTAGTTTGATCATTGTTGCTACAGGCAACTATGCAGCTTCATTCAATTTTTTTAGGTCACCTGAGTTTACTCAGGTGACCTATTGCTATCTGTTTTCGTCCGTAGGCGTGCGTCGTCCGTCGTCCATCATGCGTTAATATTTGAACATTTTCAGCTTCTTCTCTGAAACCTCTCAACCAATTTCAGACTTGGACAAACTTCTACACATATTGATTATCTGATACATCACTGTGTATATATGTCAGTTATATTTAAATCAGTTTAGATGGAAAATACATGTTGTTTATAATTTGTGTAATTTTAATGTGTGTGATATTACATTTATTTCTTTTTTAAATTTCAGTTGAACGAACACAAAAATCAACAAAAAGATTCATTATCCAGTTCAGGTTGGTTTGATTTAAAGCTAAACAAGTTAATTCAATCTTTATGCCTGAGCATTAAAGAACTTTCTTGTTCTTGCTTTATAGTTTTCAAAAGTTTTGTCCTCTGACATTGGTATTGACACTCAAGAGCACTAAGACAAAACAGCATATACAAAGTTGTTCTTAAGGTTGCACTTTCATTTTGATGATTTACAAATCAACTTTTATGCCCTGCCATGAATATGCTGGGGCATATAGTGTTTGTCATGTCCATCTTACCATCCTTCTGTCTGTCCTTCCATCACTTTGAGTTTAGCTCAGTTTCAAAGTAAATATTCTAGATATATAAAGCAGAAATCATACATTGATACACATTGGTGAGAGCTATTCCACTTTGGCATTATTTTCTGATCTTGACCCTTTCTGTGACCTTGACCTCATGATTCTGTATTTTGTGTATAGTTCAATTTCAAAGTAACTGTTCAAGATATATTATCCAAAATTCATACTCTGATACATGTATATATTAGTGATAACTATTCAACTGTAGGAGAATTTTCTGACCTTGACTTTACCCGTGACCTTAGCTCAGTTTCAAAGTAGCTATTCAAGATAATTTTATCAAATCTTTTTTATTATGCCCCGCCATGAATATGGCCGGGGCATATAGTGTTTGTCATGTCCGTCTTCCGTCCTTCCGTCCTTCTGTCCTTCCGTCCTTCCGTCCTTCCGTCTGTCCTTCCGTCACACTTTGCGTTTAGCTCTGTTCAAAGCTCAGTTTCAAAGATACCATTCAAGATATTTTTATCAAACTTCATATGCTGATAGATATTGATGAGAGCTATGCAACTGCATCAACATTTTTTGACCTTGACCTTTCCTTTGACCTTGACCTCACTTTTCTTAAATTAGTGTTTAGCTCAGTTTTAAAGATACCATTCAAGGTAGTGTAATCAAACTTCATATGTTGATGCATACTGATGTAAGCTATTCAACTGCATCAACATTTTTTGACCTTGACCTTTCTTTTGACCTTGACCTCACTTTTCTTAAATTAGTGTTTAGCTCAGTTTTAAAGATACCGTTCAAGATAATGTAATCAAACTTCATTTGTTGATACATACTGATGTAAGCTATTCAACTGCATCAACGTTTTTTGACCTTGACCTTTCTTTTGACCTTGACCTCACTTTTCTTAAATTAGTGTTTAGCTCAGTTTTAATGAAAGCATTCAAGATATTTTTAACAAACTTCATATGCTGATACATACTGATGAGAGCTATTCAACTGCATCAACATTTTTTGACCTTGACCTTTCCTTTGACCTTGACCTCACTTTTCTTAAATCAGTGTCAAACTTCATATGCTGATACATACTGATGAGAACTATTCAACTGCATCAATATTTTTTGACCTTGACCTTTCTTTTGACCTTGACCTCACTTTTCTTAAATTAGTGTTCAGCTCAGTTTTAAAGAAACCATTCACAATATTTTTATCAAACTTCATATGCTAATACATACTAATGTAACCTTTTCAACTGCATCAACATTTTTTGACCTTGACCTTTCCTTTGATCTTGACCTCACTTTTCTTAAATTAGTGTCAAACTTCATATGCTGATACATACTGATGTAAGCTATTCAACTGCATCAATATTTTTTCACCTGGACCTTTCCTTTGACCTTGACCTCACTTTTCTCAATTTGTGTTAAAATGTTGCATTACTAATATACCCTCGGCGGGGCATTCATGTCCTATGGACATATTTCTAGTCAAAGCTATTCAGCTTTGTCATAATTTTTGTCAATGATCTTGAGCCCATTATTCCTCGTTTTGCATTCAGTGTCAAAGAAACTGTTCATGATATTTGCAGAATTACATCTCTGAGAAAAACTAGAATTCATGGAATTCAGAGTCTATTTACCCTTTAAATATTTAAATTTCAAATTTCTGTTCCATAAAGTGCTTGTCTGTTGAGAATTTTTGTCCTCTGCTTTCACTGAAAGTGGGGGATATTAATTTCGGTCTGTCTGTCCGTCTGTCTGCCCCCACCCACCCCGATCTGCACATGCTTTTCTTTTTTTAGCTCACCTGAGCTACAAGCTCAAATGAGCTTTTTTGATCACCTGTTGTCCGTCGTCCATCCAAAATTGGTACAACGCGGCTAGGATAAGACTGTCCATAAATATCACAGTGCACCAGCAATAGTAACTTCTCTGAACTACCTAGATATGACGTCATAATAGCATATGGCATCATGTTACTGCAAACTTGAGGTGACATGACGGGGAGAGTGTCATAAATATTACATTCCTTTCTTAAGGCATGTACGAAGTAGTTTACGTTGATGTTGAATTCAGGTGTCTGGATTTTTTATAAACTGCAGTATAATGGTGAATATTTACATTGACATCATAATTTCTATTTCCCGCATAATCACCGGTGTGAGATTGACTTGTCCGGTGTGAGACAGCAGTGTGAGATTTTTCTGTCTTACACTGTGTATTACTACGCCGCAAAAGATAAAGTAAACATTCCGTCTTTATATAAAGAAATTGTAACAATGTTAAAAAATATTACATATACTTAAAATGTTGTCATTTGACTTATTAAGATAAACTTATTTTCATTCAAAATATTGTCGTATTTTCACTTTTTAAATGGCACTTTTTTTAGATCGCGGAAGGGTCTTCTTGAATGAATGTGTACGCTTTCGGATAGATAAGTTTTTTTATTCCCAGTTTTTATCTATCTAATTAATTTACATGGACTGAAATTCATTTTATCAGTTTACACTGCGTGTAAACCATTTTCAGGTACGCTCTCTCTGATGGTGTATTTAGATTTTTAATTAGATGGAAAATTAAAAGAATATATTTTTAGCCCTATCATAGCGACGTCATTGACAGGCCGTTATTTTGGATAAAATAATGCGAGAAAAATAATCATTCATTACATACTCGTGTGGGAATAGTGAAATTCCACCTCGGGGCCAAGATTCACGGTCTAGGACTCGGCAAAGCCTCGTCCTAGACCGTGAATCTTGTCCCCTTGGTGGAATTTCACTATCCCACACTCGTTGTAATGAATGATTCTATTATTCTTGTCTTATATACAGTGTAATCAAGCAGTAAGAAAAAAGGAGGATGTAAAATTCTTCCCATTACACATCCGCAGAAAGAGTTAGAATTTATACATTGTTTATAAATTAGACTGGCACAAGTGATTAATAAGGATAATTTAAAGATGTTTTGTGTGAATCTTCAAGAGTAACATAGTATGTTATCTTATTGAATCTTGCTGGGGGATAATTTGATGTATAGCTCTAATTTGTATAAATTGCAATAAAGTGTGTAAAATACACTTCTATGTGTGGGTAAGATGAAGCTCTCATGATATAATTACTATATATAAACTAGAAACTCATTGCGAGCAATGAGAGGTCTTCCGTCCGATTCTGAAAATAAAAATGAAAATTCAAGCTGAAAAAGTGATAAAAGAAATTCAGACACTCTGGAGATTTAACCCTAATCGTCAGCGTGAAAACCCAATGTGCTAACCATTAACCATTCACTTTTTTACATCACTTCCTTTCACGACCGGAAGTAACGGCGATGCAAGATTTTCTCACGATTCAAATAAACTGATGACTGAATATCAGTCCTGAAGTTTTAGTCCTCAGTCGTTTACTGTTGCCGAACAATATTGTGGGACTAAATTCTAATTTTGAGAACAGGTAAACACACAACCGGAAGTGAATTTTATAAAAATCTCTGACTTTTCTCTAGACATTTGCAGTATCTGCAACATGCATAAAATCATTTCAGGTACTTTATCAATAAGCGATATTTATGAGAAAGTTAAATATAGGAATAACGTAGTTTATCTCCTTAAACCGGAAGTTGACGTTTTTGTTTCCGGTGGAATCTAACATATTTCAAAACAGCAAAAGAGATGCAATAAATTCATGTAAGTTTTAATTTAAAAAAAGAAAAGCTAAAATTTTTGATTTCTTTGATAACTTCCTGTGAGAAGCGGAAGTGACGACTGACGCGTTTAACCCAAATGGTTTCACCTACCCCTCAACGTCCATTACTCTTAAAATTTTGGTGTTTTAATCTTTTACCTGTTTTTGAGATCTCGCTCAGACAACTTCTCATTTTGAGGACAGGAAAACACGCAACCGGAAGTGAATTTTTGAAAAACTATTTAAGGTTACTCTAGACATTTGCACTCTGAATAGCACATTTAAAATTCATTTCAATTTCTTTATCTATAAAGAATATTTACGGGAAATTAAAAAATTCAAATTATTAAGTTTTTCTCCTCTAACAAGAAGTTGTCGTATTTGTTTCCGGTGGGACGAACATCTTTCGAATCTGCGAAAAAGATGCAATAAAGTGATGCAATTTTCAATTAAAAAAAGAAAAGTTGAAATTTTCGTTTTCTTTGATCACTTCCTGTGACGACCGGAAGTGACGACTGACGCTCTTAACCCAAATGGTTTTGCCTACATCTTAAGGTCTGTTGCTCATAAAAGTTTGGTGTCATAATCTCTTACCGTTTCCGAGATCTTGCTCTCACAACTTCTCATTTTGAGGACAGGAAAACACGCAACCGGAAGTGAATTTTACAAGGATATTCTACATTACTGTAGACATTTTTAGTCTGAATAACATATTTAAAATTCATTTCAAATACTTTATCTACAAAAGATATTAATGGGAAAGAAAAATACTCAAATTATGTAGTTTTTCTCTTAAAACCGGAAGTTGTCGTTTTTGTTTCCGGTGGGACCAACATATTTCGAAACTACAAAACAGATGCAATAATGTGATGTAAGTATTGATTTAAAAAAAGAAACTTGAAATTTTACGATTTCTTTGATCACTTCCGTAGGCGACCGGAAGTGCCGACGACGAACCAAAAGTAGCGACCCGGCTAGTATCTATCACGAACTATAATCCCTGAAAGTTTCACATTGAAATCTCTTGTAGTTCTTGAGATTATCCGCGGACAAA